CCACCATCCCCTGGAGTCCACTCAAGCTCACGCCGACTGCTTCAGTGACTCCATCTAGCCACCTCATTCTCTGCCGTCCCCTTCTCCTTTTGCCATCTATTGTTCCCAGCATTAGGCTCTTCTCCAGGGAGTCCTTCCTTCTCATTAGGTGGCCGAAGTATTTGAGTTTCATCTTCAGGATCTGGCCTTCTAAAGAGCAGTCAGGGTTGATCTCCTCTAGGACTGAACGGTTTGATTGCCTTGCAGTCCAAGGGACTTGCAGGAGTCTCCTCCAGTGCCACAATTCAAAGGCCTCAATTCTTCGGCGCTCAGCCTTCCTTGTGGTCCAACTTTCACCAGCCATACTGTAGTGAATCCCATAGTTTAACTATGTGCTGTTGGGAAAAAATTCTTCCTATCATCTATCCTGAATTTCCCTCCAGTGAGTTTCGTGAGGTAACCTCTTTGAATTCTAGAATTATGGAAGAGAGAAAGTGCTCTAATCAGCTACCTCCACGTCATGCACAAATTTTGTACATCACTATCATGCCTTCTCATATTTGCCTTGTTTCTAAGATACACAATTCCAGATGTTGGTAACCTTTCCTGCTGCCTTGGTGATGGCTACTGAAATACTGCCAGATGGCACAGTCCCACACAAAGCTGCCAGTGGTCAAAAACAAGAGGAGGGTCTGATCCCCCCCCCCCGCCCCCAGATTCTCCTAAAACAATGTTCAGCTAGCTATTTTTCAGCTCCCATCCCTTTTGAATAAAGGAGCTCTTGCCTAGTGAAAAAAAATCCAATAACGTGGGTTTCTGGCGCCCTCTTGCGTCTCTTTCCTAGAATTTCACCAAGGATGAGCACGCGGAATTCTACAGCAAATTTTGTACAGCGGAGTCCAATTTATTCCCAGCGTGTCTCGCTCAGGACAGTTACACAAGTCTAAAAAGTAGTTTTACTAGGCAGTAACATTTGGGGCGAATCGGATGACGCTATCCGCTGACCCAGAAGTCAGTGAGTGTACTTGCTCGTCTCTGTTTTGCCTAGTAAAGCAGAAACACTCGAGAGTGAGTACTTGCATTTCAAGGACTGGTTATCACGGCTGTAAAAATATATTTAAGTTTTTATTTTGGAGGAAAGGGTTTGGATCCTGTCTAATATCAGGAGCACTGCTTGCATTTCGGCCAGAGTATACAATGTAATGGTAGTACGACGGGTTTACTCAGCAGTAATTCTCACTGGAATCATAGAGCTTTCTAGGTGGGCGAGAACAGCCGTCTTTTGTGGGATGCTGGGAATCGTAGTCCAACACATCTGGAGGACACGAGGGCGCGAGGCGAGGGGACGTTTCTGCCCAGGGTTGCAGCCACACTTCGGGGCTGATCTGATGGCCATCCTATACCCCGTTTACGTGGGGTCGAGCCTCGTTTGGCTCAATGGGACTTTCTTCTGGGATCGTAACCCAGGAGCATCCAACGGAGCTCCGGGATGAGACAGGACCTGCCCTGCACCCTATTCAAAGATCTTGCAAAAAATTCTTGCCCTGTAAACGGCTTGCTTGCCGCGGCGAAATAGGGAGACCCCTCCCCAAAGAGGGCTGGGGGGCTGCCTCTCGATGGCTCCGCCCTCGCGCCGGGGAAAGCGGAAGTGAAGATGGCCGAGATCCCCGAAACCCTCCCAAAAGAGAAGAGGAGGACGAAGCACGGATAGGGGCACGCAGAGGTCTGTCACAGCTCGCGGCCAATGGCGCCGGCCAGCGCGGGCTGAAAGGAGGGACCCGGAAGACAGGCTCGGCTTCTGGCGGGGAGGCCGCTTTCCTCCTTCTCCCGTGGCAGAAAGGGAGGCGGGCACCATGTTTCAGTTTTTGGTGAGTCTGCTTTTGGAGGGTGCCGAGGCTGGGCTGCCGCGGGAGGGGACCGAGAGAGAGAGAAAGAGAAGGAAAGAAGGAGCCCCCCCCCCGCCCCCGGAATGAGAACTGGGCAGAGAAAGCACAGTCAGGATCCGAGGCTGCAGCCCAGCCATGCTAAGCCAGGAAAACCCCTGCGCCTCCGGCATTCCCCAGCCAGCCAGCACAAACCAGCAAACTGGTCCGAGCCCTTCCTTACTGGCGATGGAGTGCGGGGAGTTGTAGCAGCGCTGTCAAGGTGCGCGCTGAGCCAGAGGAAAGGCCTCCAACCCCGTGCCCACACTCCCCAGGTTGCCCGCTGTCTTACCGGCGTAGGAGCCGATGGAGGCGGCCCGCAGTGGCACCAGCCCTGGCACCGTGTGCAAGTGGCGCCCGAGGGTGCATGTCTGCACGGGCTGGCGCCTGGCAGTGTCCCAGGAGGCACCCTGACCGGGGCGGGGGAGCGGTGGGGCGGCGCGGACGGGCGTGGGATGGACGTGCGCCCCCTTGGATGCGCTTTCCTGGGGGAGAGCGGGAGGCGGAGGCCTGAAGCCGGGAGCCTCGCACACGTGCAGGGGGCACGAGGCTGGCAGGGCAGGGCAGCGCGACGAGCCGCGTGCGGGAGCCTCTTTGCTTTATCTCCTGCGGCCCAGATCTGGGGGACGAGCCGCCTGGAGCGGTTACGCCCTCTGGGGCCCTGGGCGTGCCTTTCAGGGAAGCGTGCGGCCAGCCACCCTCGCAAGCAAAGCACTGGCCCTTGGCCTGATGCAGTAAGGCAGTGCTTGTTCTGCTAGCAGTCAATTTAAGTCCTTCTTGTTCTAGGCCTTCCCTACCTTGGTGCCCTTCAGGTGTCTTGGGCTGCCAGGACTTCTGGCTGCTCACTGTGCTTGCTGGGGCGGATGGTTGCTGTAGCCAGGACGTCTAGAAGGCACCAGGCTGAGGAAGGCCTGCCTCTCCATTTCCCAGCGATTCCCCACTAGTTTTCCTCTTTATGCAAGAATCTAGACTATCTGATACGTCTGCTGGCTTGCTGTAGCTGTATTTCTTCTAGGTTTGAACTTTACCCCTAATGTACTGCAGTCATAACTTCCCTCCTTTAGTATAACTTGAGTGCTCGGCATAGATCTTTAGCCTCACTCAGAGACACTTTGCTGTATATATAATTCATAAAATATAACAGTCACTTTGCTGGTGCAAACTAAGGTCAGCCTTAGCTTTCCTCAATCTGGTTTCTCTCCAGATGTGCTGAACTACAGCCCCCATCACCCTTGCCTAGCACAATCATGGCTGGTGGGGATGATGGGAATTGTGGAAAGGGAGACTGGTTGGGGGGGGCTGATTCTAGACCATGGGTAGGCCATCTTACCACCTACAGCTCTCAGTCCATAGTACCATAGCCATAGCGAGGGATGATGGGAGTTGTAGGCCCAAACATTAGGAGGACTACAAGATGCTCATTCCTCTTCTTGATTATTCTTCTGTTCTCATCAGCAGCCTGCCAGCTTCCTTCAGAATCCTGCAAGCAGGATGGAAAAGGCGTATTCACCACTTGTTCTCGCATTTTGTATGATAAAGTGTACTGCCCCTGAACTTGGAAGCTTTGCTTAGAGTTAAAAGTTGCAAATCAGAGTAGTGAAAACGTGCCTGCAGCCCCTCAGCACGACACACACACATTTCTTCCATATATACTAGGAAGTGAGGTGGCGTTTCTCCTGCTCCTAGATAAGCACATGCTCCTGTGAAAGCAACAGCCTTGGCATTTCTCGCAGCTGCTGAGTTTCAGGTAGTTGTTCCTGGAATTCCAGCTTTCTGTCCAACTGTTCAACTTATTGCAGCGTAACATTAGAAGTCCCCGTGCCATGTGCTGCAGGTGGACTTGCTTGTCTGAAGGTGCCTGCCTTCAGATGGACCTCCAATGTCACTGTGGTTTCTGGAGGTGCTGCTGTTGTCCCTGTGTGAGAGCAGAGGGGAGCTAGTCTTGAGACCGTGTTCCATATCAGCCGGGACATACCAGCTGGTGTTCCTGGCTGGGCTGCCTCCCTGAATCTTCAGCTTCTCACCATCTGCCTTGAGCCAAGTTGGGATCTGCCAGGACCAGAGCAGAATCTAGGAATGTTGGGCACGGTTATCAGGCAGGCAACCTCTACCTGCTGAGGTTTGCTGCTCCTGAATTCCCTCTCTTGTCTCACTCCATTCCACCACATCTGGCCTGGCCAGTGGAAGGAAAGAAACTTCATCCTGGGTTTCTTCACTCTCTTGGTTCTTCTTAGGTGTCCTCCTCCTCTTCACCAGAGGAGTTGTGGCAACACCGTTGTGGCTCAACAGAAGTTTTATTTTCTCTGGGCTCTGCTCCCCCTCATCCCAAGATGGTTGCCAGCTTCTGTGGATCAACTATATGACAGTCCCTCCTCCTGATTTACTGTAAAAGTTGCCACCTCAAGTAGAAAAGTATGCGTGTAGAACCTTCTGCTCACCCTGAGCAGAACCTGCTATATACATGGGAATTTGCAGACTTTTAGTATTTGTTTACTCTAAAATATATTTGTTCCACCCTCATAAGGACTTGGGTGGTCCTTGTTGACCATAGAATTGGAGAGACCTTGTAGGCTCCACACACACTGAAGAGTTCTACCTCTCTTACGATCAAGAGGTGTCTCCTGATGTCCACCCAAATCTACCTTCATTAACCCTCCTGAGCAGCAGAGAATGGTCTCCAGGTAGCCTGGCAAGAAAACATTGTGACAGTTGGGCCTGTTGGTTTATTCATCCATTTAAAATATTTCTGTACTACCCTTGATTGTGACATACAGAGTTTGTTAAAACAAGACACGGTGAAAACCAAAAACCACTAGGATGTAAATAAGGAACAGATAATGTGTGAATGAGTAGGTTAGTCAACCCTCAGGTGAGAGTGGCTACCAGGTCTTGTGGACTTGCTTCCAGACCTCCACACATACGGAGCTGTGGTCATCTCTAGCAAAAGCAAGCATGTACAGAACTGGCTCCCAGAAGATGCCTGTCATTTTTAATTTCTTCATGTAGGTACTCTGCCTTATGATATCAGTCATGCGAAGCCCGGCAGTGCCTTCTGTAAATTATACAATCCCTGAATTTCTGGCTCTAAAAATGGAGACCCTGTCGTCTTAGGTAGATATTTTATTAGCGCCTTTACAGTGCAGTCCAGGGAAATTGCTTGTAAAGCTCCAAATGTGGAGAATTACAGGCCTTGTACAGTGGGTGGAAACTCTGTGAAGGTGAAGGTCGGCTCTGTCCACCTCTCACCCTGCAAAACACTTAGATGGCTGATTTTGGCCTTTGGAGTGTTTTGCTGTGGAGTGGGAGGGGAGGAGGCTGAAGCATATGACGCTAGTGGTGTTGATCCCTCCTGCACCCTCCCAACTAAGAAAACTCAATTTCTTAAATGCTGTTCTGAGCACAGAGGTGCAGCTGGCATGATTCTTTCTATTCGTTCTGCAAGGATGGAGGAGGTCTCTCTGAATTCAGAGTCTCTGCTCTATTTGCAGGGCATGTTTCCAAGGTGAGAGCTGGCTCTCTGAATTACCCATGGCTGTCTTGACTGTGCCTGGTGGCAGTAGGAGAGCAAATTACTGTTTTGCTATTTGGTGTGGCAGAAGATTGGATTGCATCTGTTTGTTTATAAAGCCCTTTGATGCTACGTGCTATACAACATTAATCTGAATACAAGCCATTGTGCCTTTCATATTGGAGATAGCATATAGCCTCCACGGCTAGTAGCCATTGAGAGCCACAGGGTGGAAGCTTATACATTTTTGGACAGAAAACAATCCTCCACAGGATGCAGGAGAATCAATATGCATGTTGGGCTCTTTAGTCCAACACAGATTGACTAGGTTCATACAACATGACAACTGATTCTCAAGGTTGACTATGGTTTGAGTGTGGGTTGTTGTTGAACCATGGCCTGTTGTGTTGTATTTACTCAGGTACTAACAGACCATGATTTGTTAAGCACAACCAACCCACAGTTTGCAACCCTACAAGAAACCATTGATTCTCTTTGTGGGATGTTCATGGTTGAGAAACCAAAGGGGATTTTTTTTAGTGGAGTTGAGTGTTAACATAATGCACCAACTGACTCTCATCCCATATGCAACCTTGAGTATGGGTTGTGAAGTTGTGTGAACCTGGCCAAACTATCTTGGGCTAAAGGGTGCTATGCACATATGGACTCTTCCACATCCTGTTGAGGGGGTCCTATTTGTGGCCATCTGTAGATGACCTGGTTCCAGGTCAGGGTGGATTTGAATTAAATCAAATTGATTTAAACCATGACTTAAATGGCTCTAGTCAGTAAGACTAGATTTAAATCATGGTTTTCTACATAATTTATGTTCGTGTCTGTCTTACCCATACGTAGAGGAACTTCATTAAAATATTCCCAAACTGGGCTTTATGATCTGCTGCCATTATAGGTTTTCTCTTCCAGGGCAAGAATAATATGATAAATCTCTGGCTATACACAAAAAGATCCAAAGACTTGTGGAATATTCTGCTCAAAAGGTTTCACTTCCATTTTTACTGCTTGCCTCTTCCTCCTCAGACTGTGCTTCTTGTGCAGATCTATTCCATTCCCAATATTCTTCTGTTCATGGATTGTTTTTGCCTCTTCTCACTTAAGAGGTAAGGAGTTGATTCTGTTTGCATAGATTTGCAAAGGAACAATGGGATTAAGGTCTTTTTCTCAACTCTGTATGCTTATTCTATAACATTTTTGCTGTGCAGAAGAGACATGCGGTCTTTGCAGACACAAATTCACAGCTCTGAGAACTGTAAAACCAAGCATCTGTGATAATATCTTCTAGATAGCAAATTTGCCCAGTAATCTTACAGAAACCTCTGGAAGAGCATGGCATTGTGAATGGATTAATGGAATTCATTTACCAAAAAAATTTAAACACTGCATAAATACACAGCCTCATGCTACATAATTAAAAACTAAT